CTGCGAGCCCTCAACACTACCTAGAAGTGGTGGAGCTTTACCCTTAAGAAAAGCCTAGCATTCACTAGAACTGGAGGGGGTCAGAGGCTGATGCAAGTATGTGCCCACACTTTATACAGTCTCATTAATGAGAATATAAATTATTTTATAAATAACATTATAATGTAATATTACAATTCTTGGTTGCCTCATAACAATCTGATTGTATAGTTAAAGTATAACTAAAGGCAAAACTTTGTTGTTTCCATTTCAGGCTGTGAACACCTGCCACATTTCTATTGCTGTCTGTGCCCTCGCTAAGTAATAGAGGGGAAAACTTCAAAAAAAGAAGCCAGTTCTGGTGTCAACCAGGGATTCCATCACTTTAAAGGGAATTTCTCTGACTTCTTGTTTTGACTATAGAATAGGGGGTGAAAGGAAATTTCCCCAATGGGACACAGATGGTAAAATAACCCTTACTCTATTCAAAATGGGAAAAAAAGTTTGGCTTTTAGTTCTGCTTTAAAATACTCTTCTGTAGTTTGAATTATAAAGTTATCATACCTTATAATAGAGCACCATATTGCATGTTGGCCTTATACTGTCCAGGGTCTATTCAGTGAATTTCATTAGCAGATGTTACAAAATAAAATCCCTATATTTCAGTTATCAGATGACCATGCCAATAAATGAACTTTTTTTTTTAATATCCAGATCAGTATTTTGACTCCTTATACAAATGAACAGTCTACTGACTAGTATAGTAATCCATAGCAAGTATCCTAGATTGTAAGCTCCAAGGAGCAGGTCCCTGCTATCCCTCTTGTATTGAACTGTATTGTTGCTGTATTGTCTCTCGTTATATTGTACAGCACTGAGCAAACTATTGGCGCTATATAAATCCTGTATAATAATAATAATAATAACTAGAAAAGCTACAATTTCTGGGGAAATTGTGTGAAGTGTTCTTGCCTCCACCAGTAGTCTACAACTGGAGTGGGCGGAGTAACTGGGTGGAGTGGCTTGAGTAACTGTTGTGTGGTTGGAGTGGCTGGAGGAACTGTGAAAAGGTCAATGGGCAGCGTGAGTTGCAAACAAATGGTCATATTGTGAAAACTATCAGGACTATGGCTTAGCCGTGAACATTTTGTGGCAGCAAGGATAGCTGAACGTTTTGATATAAGATTTGTGTAGGTGGGCTTGAAAATAAGGGAGTGATGGCAGTTTAGAAATCATGTCCTGATTTTTCAGCTCACACTCTAGCTTTTGTCAGCTCCCACTCTAGTTTTGAACATTCCGCCATTCATTCCTATGGGACCAATTTCACCACAAAAACGCAGATATTTCGTGAACCATATGGCGAAACGTTCCACAAAGTAATAGCACACCAATTGGGAACAATCCGCACGTTTCGGTATATTACTGTCTATGTAGTGTAAACTGTGGGAGGAGTTAGGGTGGTAAATTTGGCTATAATAATAAGAATATATATGTGAGATAACAGTAAGTGGTCTTGCCATGCAAGAACACTTAAGTCATCTCTTAGATTGTAAGCTCCAAGGTGCAGGGCCCTCCTAACCCTCTTGTATTGAACTGTATTTTTGCTGTATTGTCTCCAGGTATATTGTAAAGTGCTGAGCAAACTGTTGGCGCTATATAAATCCTGTATAGTAATAATCCCCAGACATCAGTATATGGAAATCTTTATGGTTCATATATGTCAAAGTATAGCTAAACTCTCCTATCCTTTTACAGCTTGGAATGACATCTTAGTCTCTATTAAAATTGCATTTGCCATGGTGCTGCACACATGATCATCTGTGATATCAGCTATTAGATGGTTTAAAATGTTGGTTGAGCTGAAATACGTATACTGGCCACGTATCCAAAGAACAAAGGCATACCGCTCAGGAAACAGTCCAGATCAATCCACAACAGGCGCAGGCTCTGGCTCACCACCACACACGATGCAATAGGAAGAAGGATCAGCCGCACACCAGAGGATAGATGAATATAGTGTGTATTTATTAATCCATAGGACACACAAAACACCAGGACATATTAACGCATTTCCCACGATCTCATGCTTAATCATAACCGTTATTATTAAGAACGAGATCATGTGAAACGCCTTAACAGGTCCTGTATTCATGTCCTGGTGTTTTGTGTGTGTGCCTGTGGATCAATAAATACACATAATATTCATCTATCCTCCAGTGTGTGGCTGACCCTTCTTCCTATTACTGCCCTTTGTGTCTCTCACTGAACAAGTATAACACTTGTAGAAAAAAATGAAAACATATACTTATCACCACATGAAGATGACAAGTGAAACTACCCTTTTATGGCCAGCTTTAGGCCCCATTCACATCTGGACGTTTTGCATCACTCGACAATCATGACAGAACTGCACCGCATTTTAGGTGCCATTGAAAATTAATGGCACCTTAACACGCATAGTGCAATTTGTCATTTTTGCACAGCATTTTAGGATTGCGGGCAGGATTTCTGCAATAGAAAATGGCCAGGTCTTAGGCTCATGTCACACTAGTGATCCTGTCACCACACAGACATGCTAAAAGAACAAAAAAAAAACACATGGTGGAAGGAATTGCTTCACTGCTGCTCAATATCATAGGAGCAGAGTGCCCTCTTTAGCAATCCTATTAGTGACGAGTTGCCAGAAGTGACAGGATAGCCTGTGAGACGCAGTCCTTGCTTTTATTGCTTGATTCACCTGGCAAGCCAAACTCTGCCATAAAACAATGATAGGAATATAAATAGTGTTGTTAAAGTGCTCTTTTCCTATTTCATGTAAATTGTATGTTTGGAAAACAGAGGGTTTGATTCTTAACAGGCAAAGATCCATCTAGATCAGCCAAGTATACAAAAAAAGCAGTCATCAAGATGTAGCTTGGATATGAAGAAACAAGACCCTGCTCTTCTACCAAGATGGCCACCTCCACGCAGGGACACAGTGCAGAACAAGGCATGGTTAGTCAGTAATGGAGAAAAGACAAACTGTAGGAAGACCACAGGCAATATTGGCGACTAGTATTTAACCTCACTTGCCTTATTTGGGAACAGCCTCCACAGTACAGCTCCTCTATACAAAAAAAAAAATGTAAGAAAAAATGTATTATGAACACTATGTATTATATTATGTACATGTATTATATACACTCACCGGCCACTTTATTAAGTACACCTTGCTAGTGCCAAGAAAATATCTCCCACACCATTACACCACCACCAGCCTGAACCACTGATACAAGGCAGGATGGATACATTGTTTCATGTTGTTTACACCAGTTTCTGAATGTCACAGCTGAACCAGTCTGCCCATTCTCCTCTGACCCCTAACATCAACAAGGCACTTTCGTCCACACAACTGCCGCGCACTGGATAATTTCTCTTTTTTGGACTATTCCCTACAAACCCTAGAGATGGTTGTGCGTGCAATTTCCAGCAGATCAGCAATTTGAAATACACAGACCAGCCCGTCTGGCACCAACATTCAAATTCACTTAAATTCCCTTTCTTCCCCATTCTGATGCTCGGTTTGGACTTCAGCAAGTCATCTTCACCATGTCTAGATGCCTAAATGGACTGGGTTGCTGCCATGTGATTGGCTGATTAGCAATTTGTGTTACTAAGCAATTAAACAGGTGTACCTAATAAAGTGGCCGGAGAGTGTATATGGAGGAGTACTGCAGAAGCTGTTGGCATGTTTCCTCCCACTGAAGTCATCACTGGAGCACCAGTTCATACACTAACACCAACAATAGGGCATTGTTTCACCCACTGATACCAATGAACGGGCACTGTTCAACCCACTGACACCAATGAATAGGGCTCTATTCCTCCCACTGACAACAATGATTGGGCATTGTTCCTTTTACTGACACAAGTAAAATGCAGAGGCAATAATGTGCCATCATTGTTCCTCCCACATCAACCCTGGGAAGCTTTTTACTACCACTCACTACCAAGCCTGGATCGTATGCTCCAGTTGACCACTGATGCCAGGGCATTTGTTTTTCCCACTGGCCATCTAAAGTCTGAAGGACAGTGAATTGGCCCTTTTTTTTTAAATGTTTAAGAACTCCTGGTTTACGTCACTGGGAGATGCAATTAATGGATGAAAAAAAACTATCAACATCTACATAAGAAATTTATAGCTTATTTTTGCAAATGTACTTAACTCTAACACCCATCTAAAAATTTATCAGCTACTAGTATGTAGTATATTATAGGTAAACAAAATGTAATTGCTCTGGAGTGTCTGGTTCCACCACCATAGTACACATGGACTGAAGCCAAAATCTAGCTAAGTGCCAGTTCACATATATGCGGATTGGATGCGGTTTGAACCGCATCCAATCCGCATGACATGTGAAAAAACATTGCTTCCTGGTGCCTGTTCACATATGTCCGGTGCACTGGCGGTATGGATTCAGTGGAGATTCAGTGCAGTTTGAAAAAGAGTCATGTACGATTTCTGAGCACTGCCTTCAGGGTCAGGTATGGATTACAAGCTATTGACTTCTAAGAGAACCGTTTCTAACTTGCATGTGTGTGAACAGGATAAGATCCTGAGCTAATCCTGTCCTGAGCCTGATGTAAACCTGACATGAACCGCTGAACAACTAGTGTATCAATTAGCTCTGAAACCTGAGCTTCATTCCGCACCACACATAATCTCACACTTCCTACATAATGGAGTTACCAAGAGTCTGAAGCATTACCAGTTTAAAAATATTTCCATGTGCACTACCAGTTTAAAATGAACTATACATGTATACCACGTGTCATTTTAGAACATCCTTACGAATGTAAACAATAACATAAAAAGATATCCGATGATATAATGCAAGTAATATATAGTGTTTATATTGTTAGAGTCTTAGGCATGATTTCTGAGATACGCTTGTTTAATATATGGCTCAACCAAATCTGAAATACTTCTTACAACCATTTACAGCACCAAATAATATTAATTAATTAGAAAAATGATTTACCTAAAATTAAGCCCACCATTGTACTTAAATATCCAGTTCCACTTCCAAGGTTTAGAAAAGATAATCCCGGTTGAAGTTTTAATGCCTCCATAACTTCTGAATAGATGCAAGGTGCAGATAGGTGTATGTTCCCATGCTTCCAAGCCAAGTCTTTATATGCATTGTCCCTGTAACCTTCCAAGTAATATTCTCCTCGGTCAATTGCTCTGAAGGCTTGTTCTACTTTTTCAGTACGTATATACTGTGCCTCTTTTAGGTTATCAATTAAGTCATCATTGTCTTCTCCAGCGCTCACTGCTCCTCCCATGATAGGTCAATAGTTTAAACGAATTTGTTACATTCGATAAAAGAAGAATAAAGTATCAATGAGACCACCAATTGAAATCAGCTGACCTCTAGCAGGTTATCACTACAACTTCCATATATGCACCCTGTGGAAATAAAAAGAGATGCAAAGGATTTGAGTTTCTTATAAACAAACAGAACAAAAGCAAATATTAACAGGGTAGGTGGTAGAAGGCATTTCAAGCAAACAATTTGTGTTTTTTGACCCCTTCCTTTAGTAACACAGCAGGATCCCCTACTTAAGGGGCCACAGTTTCAGAAATAATGTGTACCATCATAGTATGATAAAATCTAATGACTCACAAAAAGAATCTTTTTATTCAGTGGTCATATTTAGGGTTTCCTGCTGTTTAGAATAGAGCTGGGAGAGATAAACATTTGTTACTACATAGACATTATTTCCATTTGTATAAATCCTTATAATTTACAAATGTCATACAGCATAGTTTTTTTTCACACATACGTTACCTACTGTGCATTTAATTCTTTCACTGTTGGTGGCAATTTATATATTTGAGAACATAATGAACAGCTTTGGATTTTGGTGATTAAATAGAGAAAATGTGATAAGACCCAGGCTTACCACAGACTAGATTCAAATGTTTTATGCAATTAGAAAAAATACTTTTCTCACTTTTAGAAATGGGTGAAAATAAAAAAAATCTTTTTGAAAACAGAGCTGCCATGTGGGCTTTGCCCACACAGCCACATCATTCATTTACAGAGTTCTGTGAATTAATGAACTACAAGTCCTGACAGCCTTTGCGGCTGTCAGCTTGTAGTTCTCAATGGACTACTACGGTGCTGTTGAGCATTGTGGTAGTTCATTGAGTCTTCCTGTCAGACTGTATCTGCTTGCCTGTACGGGATGTACGGGAACACAGATACACTGACAGTTTGCAGGAGTCCTGCATGGCACCAGTGATCTGGTGATTGCTGGTGCAATGCTTTCCAGACTGAATAAAAGAAATAAAATAGTAAATGCACATTTGTTTACCTGTATCTTCTACCAACAACAATCAATAACAAACCTCCAAGACAGGTAAAAATCCAGGAGAAAATCCTTATTAGCAAAATGTTTTCTCCCATCAGGCATTAGGAATGAGAGCGGGGTATACTGCTGCACTACAGAAATGCATGGATGAAAAACTGGAGTACTGAACAAGTAGGGTATGACTGGAGGAGGGGCAGACTGACCATTTGGAAACTCGGGAACTGCCCGAGGGCCTGGGGTCAGTAGGGTGCCCCATGAGATGCCCCTGGTACCTTTTTCATAGGCTTTTTTGAGTTTGGACAAGGACACAGGGGCCCCATGATCCCCTATTGCCTGGGGCCCCATGAGTTGTCAGTCCGCCCCTGGACTGGAGTGTACTTTCAAAAGGCAAAAATCTCTCTTCCAGAGCTACCAGTTCTATTCCCTTGTCTTGGAGCATCACTACTTTAGGAGGAGGTGCACACCCACATCACTGCTTTTTTCAGTAGTAAAAAAAATAGTTAAAAATTGGACAAATAACATCATGAAAGGTAAGTTCAAGAAGCAGTGTGGCTTCACATGTATTTTCAAATATGTGCAACATAAATAACACTGGCTTCCATTAATCAAGACCCTGAAATGGCAAACAAAAGTTGCTGAAGCAGCCCATATAACCCCTAACACTCCCAGCAATCCTAAGTTTTTTTAGCAAGCAATAACTTGTAGGCTTACCTATAGGTACCGTAAATATCTCCTAGATGTGCAGTTTCGAAGATATTTACCTGTGTAGCCGCCAGTGAAGTCACCGGTACATGCTCTCTGAAGGAATGGCATACCTGTGCCATTCCTTCAGAGAGTTTTGCGCCATAAACAATGACTCCCATGAGTGACGTCATTGCAGCTTGGCCAATCAAGCGGCCACAGCTAGCAGCCAGCGAACCCAGAAAAAGACCGGGTGATGATGGATTCCCTGTCAGCAGTAACAGGGCACTGTTGGAGAGATCCGCTTAACAGGTAAGTTTGTCATAATGTGCTAGTATGCTGTGCATATTAGTACATCATGACTTTACTCTGCGGGGGGACCAGTTGTTTCGGGGGGTTTTCAGCAGCGGTTTACTACCACTTTAATTTAGACCTAAACATTCTAAACAAGATCTATGAATGGAGAATGGTTCTCCACAGACCTGTCAATCATCAGCCCACCCCCATTCAAAGATCCTGTTTTACTCATAGTAGCTGTAGCAGATGCTTCTATGAATGGAGCAGCCAGGAGGAAAGGGCAGGCATAGTCAGGCACTCTTCATGAGTGCCAGTCACAGCCCCTTACTTCTCCTAATCCTCGCTGCACCGAAAGATTAAACGTCAGGGTCAGGGGGTTATTGGAGAAGATTTAGGTGAAAAGTGGACACAGCAGAACAAGGGACACATCTCAGTGAAGGTAAGTAATGTCCCTTGTGCTGGTGTTTTATTTTCTTGTTTTAGGTAAACTTAGGCTTTAAGCTGTATTGAAATACAGCTCGAATTAAGCTGAGCCAAGTATCTGCGCTGGTGATATAGCTTAGGGGCCGAAGTTCTAGAGGGCAGTCAGCTTGTGCTTGCATGTCAATCTGCCCTGACTACTAAGGAGACCCTAAGTGCTCATGCACACAGGGCTTAAAAAAGCACTGCTTTTACAGCAGCAGATTTAGATACACTAAACTACTGGAAGCCAAACTACAGCTCACACTTTATAAGCAGTTACAGCGTTTTTTTATCCTATTGGGATAAAAGTTTTATATAAAAACTGATCACTGTAAGCACCCCTTTCTGTAGTAAATGGTTTTTCTCAATCCTTTAACTGCCCGCATCTGAGGATAAAAATAGAACACTAATGAAGCTGACACATCTAAGAATTGGTAAACTCCAATATAATACATTTTGGTTTTGGGTTTAATACAGATTTAGGGTAAAAAAAAAAATCCTTTTACCTTCAGAACCACTTTAAAGCCTAACTCCAGGAATCTTGTGTCATCCCCTGATAGGTAACTCCATCAAAATCTTGCACTCAGACAAGAGTTCTACTTTGAGTGCACTGTCATTTTCCCTCAACCCCATCTATTTTAATGTATCTTCCCGGTCATAGGACACCCTAAACACTTCCAGCCTTTATCAGTAACGGGCGTTTTCAGAAATTCAAAGCAGGCTAGACCCTCCCATATCCCAGAATATACCACTTCCTAAACCAGACAAGGGGAAGGCGTCGTCCCTCTTCTGCTTTGACTACCTTTGATCCACAGCTTACCTGGTCAGACATGATCTAAATCACATACAAAGGTTCACATATCCAGTAGATCCTTTCACTCTTCCTTATATTAAAAAGTGGGAGGTAGAACCAGGAAGTTCTTTTTCAGAAAACAGATAGACCAACTTATTTGGTTTATCCATAAAGCATCAATTTCAAATAAAATACAAGAGACCACATTTAAGATGTAAGTGTACCATAACATTTTTCCACAGTGCTCCTCCCTCTGCTAGAGATGTCAACAACATGAGGGAACTATAATACACGTGTTTTGGAGATGCCCAGTCTTACAAAACTTTTAAAACCAGGTGAGGGACATTATATTCCAACTGACCAAGATCCATCTTGGAGACAACCCTGCAGCATTCCTCCTCCACCTAACAGCATTGTCAGCAAAACACAAACAATCTCTTCTGATGCTCAGTAAAATAATAAAATAAACCACGGAGGGAAATAATTTTGAAAGATGTGCTTCTATTTAGGGATGCACCGAAATTTTGGTTGCCGAAACGCTCCAGCAGAAAACGTGCCTTTCAGCCGTTGGCTGAAATGAAAAAAAGCACGGATACAGGTGCTGAAAAAAACCCCGCCCCTCACGACCCCTTGGCAGTCCTCAGCCTTACCTGAAAAACCATCAATCCCGGCGCTGGGCATAGAGATAAGTGAAGGAAAGATGACCGCCACTCATCTCTATGTCCTTGGAAGACCGGAGCGCTGTCACTTCCCATTCTAGCCATTTTTTTTTTTCTTTTAAAGCACTAGATCAATGCTTTTTTTTGTAAAGAGCTGCATAGATTGACAAAGCTATATAAGTACCTTAACTAAATAAACAAATTAATCAAATAAATAGAGGAGAGATGTGAGGTCTTATTGACCCCACATCTCTCCATAAAGAGGACCTGTCACTAATTATTTCTATCACATGGGATGCATGCATTTCTTGTGATAAGAATAAAAGTGATTAAAATTTTTTCTAAAGGGACAGTGCAAAAAAAAAAAAAAAACATTAAATAAATTTAAAAAAAAGTTTAAAGTGTCTCCGTCACTCCAGTACTCGCATGTAGTGGTGAACGCATACCCTAGGCCATGCCCACATATGTTAACTGTGTTCAAACCACACACGTGAGGTATCGCCACAAACGTCGGAGCGAGAGCAATAATTCTCGCACTAGACATCCTCTGTAACTTTACACTACTAACCTGTAGAAAATTTTAAAGTATCACCCATGGAGATTTTTTAAGTACCGCAGTTTCATGCCATTCCACAAGTGTGTGCAATTTTAAAGCGTGACATGTTGGGTATCTATTTACTCGCCGTAACATCCCGTTTCATATTTTACAAAAGAAATTGGGTTATATATATTTTTTTTTTGCTTTTTTAATCAGTGTATTTTTAAAAAATATATATATATTCATTTTTTTAAAAACTGCGCATTTCGGTTTTCAGCCAAGTACATTTTGAATTTTTGGTTTCGGCACCAGAATTTTAATTTCGGTGCACCACTAGTTCTATTGGATTAACTTTACATGTAATCCCACATATTGAGCTTTGATGACCAGTCTGTGATAATCTCTCCAACCTTGCCTTCCTTTAGTAACACAGCAGGATCTCCTACTTAAGCGGCCACAGTTTCAGAAATAATGTGTACCATCATGGTATGATAAAATCTAATGACTTACCTGCAACAGATGCAACCGCTGGGAGTGA